GTGAAGTTAAAAACCAACATTACAATAATACCAATTTATATGTTTGTCTCTACATTTACCAAAGTAATTCTTTTTTTAAGATTTATTTATTATCTATACAGTGTTCTGCCTGCATGTCTACATTCCAGAAGAGGGCGCCAGATCTCATTACAGATGGTTGTGAGCCACCATGTGGTTTCTGGGACTTGAACTCAGGACCTCCAAAAGAGCAGCCAGTGCTCTTAGCTTCTGAGCCATCTGTCCAGCCCCCAAAGGCGTTCTTAACCTTCAAGTAGATTTGGATTATAATAAAACAGCCTTTCATTCCATTGTTAAGCTTTCCCTACCCTTTTTTTAGGGTAGACCTTGTGGCAATTAACTTCCCTAGCTTTCATTTATTTGAAAATATTCGTTTATCTCTCATTATAAAAAGGACCATTTTCAGTGATTTTAGAATTCTTATTTTATTTCTTTTTAAAATCTCTTTTAGTGTTCATTATTCTTTCTCTCTCTCTCTCTCTCTCTCTCTCTCTCTCTCTCTCTCTCTCTTTTTCTGTGTGTTTGCCCAGTTGCATGTGTATGTGTATCTGTGATATCATTCTTTGCTTTCTGGTCTTTAAAGTTTCTTGCTGACAAATAAACTAATAGTTTATTGAGGATCACTTTAATCTAATGAATATGGTTTTTTTTGCTTTGAATTTTTCTCTTTTACTTTGCCTATCAACTATTTAAATATAAGATGTCTCAACATGAGTCTCTGCTTTTCTTATTTGATCTCATTGAGATTCTTGAGTGTCCAGATTCAGGTTTCTGTACAACTCTGGGGCATTTTTTGTCACTTCTTTTTAGACAATCTTTCCCCTCTCCTCTGGAACCACCACAGTGTATACATGGTCTACTTGATCATAGTTCATATATTCCTTCAAATTTGTCCACTTTCTCCGTTTATTTTTTTTGTTTCTTCTTTGACTCAATTTCAGATGGCTTGTTTTCAGGTTTCTTTCTACTCCTTCTATCTGCTCAATTAAATTGCTTACTATCTATTGAATTGCTGACTCAACACCTCAATACAGTTACTGTATGTTCAGGTCCCGGAATTTCTAGTGCTTTTATCATTTTTTGTTACTTTTTATAATTTTTATTTTTCTTGATTGATATGTTCATTTTATGTTATTTTAATGAAAACCTTAGTACTTTGAGCTTCTTTTTAGTCCTTTGAATATATTTAAGACACTGTGGGCGTGGTTAAGAACATTTGAGTCTCTTTCAGAGGACTGAAGTTTGGTTCCCTGCTCTTATGTTAGTACACAACTGCCTCAAACTCCACCTCCAGGAGATCTTATGAACTCCTAGAGCACCTACACTTGTGTGCTCATGCACATGCGCGCGCGCGCACACACACACACACACACACACACACACACACACAGCTAAAAAGAAAATAAATCCTGACAAGGAAGATTGTTGTCCTGAGGTCTCAGACTAAGCCAGGCATTGTAGAATGAGCTTGAATTACCTGCACGCAAGAGTCTGAGGCATGAGATCTGTAAGCTTGAAATCATCCATCCTGGGTTATATAATACAGAAAAATACCTTGTATCAAAACCAAACCAAAACAACAACAACAACAAAAACCCAATAGCCAGGAGTGGTGACACATGCCTTTAATCCCAACACTTGAGAGGCAGAGGCAGGCAGATAGTTTGAGGACAGCCTGGTCTACAGAGCAAGTTCCAGGACATCCAGAACTATGACTGAGAGAAACCCTATCTGTAAAAACCAAAAAACTAAAATGAAAATCAAAACAAAATGAAAAACAAAGAACTGTTTGACTTGTTACTTCTCGGCCTATGTTTCTCTGTGGATGGTGTATGATAACTTTTATTTTATTTCTTTCTCTGAATGTGAAAGATTTTTTAAAACCGTTGTTTTGTACACTTTATGGGGTTTTATATTGACAAAAATTATGCATTTTAAAAAATAAACATTTCTTGCAGTCTTTTCTTTTTAAATTGGCCTTGTGCCAAAATAGTCCATCAGTTAATTGATTATATTCTGTATTCTTTCATCAGACTGTGAAGAAGTTTGAAGTTTGTCATTATTTATCTTTAGTGAACATGCACTCTCAGTAGTGTTTTGTGTGGCTTCTATACACACGCACACACACACACACACACACACACACACACACACACACACGTCTTCTTCAGTGGAGTCTCACTGGGTGTACTAACCACACTTCAGATTTCAGGGTATGTTCGGTAGTAGATGGCCAAAACAAAATGAACTTAATACTAATTTTGTAGACATTTGATCTCATAATGCTTTGAACTTTTTTTTTGTTTCATTGGTCTCTTGCTTGTGTATTTTGGTTTATGATTTTGTTTTCTTGTGTGCCAGTTCCCTATTTCTGTTTGTTTTTTAGAGAGAAAGGAATCGGTGAGTGTGTGGGGGGGGGGGATATGGAGGATCTGGAAGGAGCTCATGGAGGAGAAAGGCATAATCAAAATATACCGTATGAATGTTTTCAATAAAACCGACAAAAATATCTACCCTACACACCATGTGTGCACGTGCGTGCTCTTTTAAATGTCTTAACTCTTGCAGAATTTTATTCTACACTGTACTTACACTTTTACCTTCATCTGTAAACTACAGCCCCATTTGTCTAAAAACGACAATTTCTCTGCGGCTGCCCACCTAAGCTCAGAGGAGGTGAACTAATGGCCAGTCCTTCAGGAACCCCTTGGATAAGGTGTGCTGCTTCAACCAAAGTCTTCTAGACTCAGCCCTGTAATTTGCTGAGGGGAATGCGAAACTGTTCCTCCATCTGCATGTTGTAAATGCTGGGAAGCAAACCTAGGTCCTCACCAAGAGCAGCCAGTGCTCTTAATCACTGAACCATCCCCACCCACTCACCAAAAAGTTTTGTCATTTGATTTCTGACTGGGGTGAGATACAATCTTAATGTTGCTTCCATTTGCATCCCCTTTTGAGTAAATACGTAAGTACTTTAAGTGTCTACTTTCTGCTTATACTAACACTGAAATTTTCTTTAATTCTTAGAAAACCGTGTTTAATCATTTGGTTCATCTTCTCAACTAATGTTTGTTTTCAGTTGGTACTTTGTTTTCTATTTTTCTTTTCAACCATCTCTACTCTAACCTTTGTTTTCATTCTCATAGTACTTATTTTCCCAGGACATTAATTCTTTCCCTTCGTTTGCTTTTAGTTTTAATAAAGTGCACTGCCTGGATTGCTTTCCCTTTCTTTAAGGGAAACATTTATAAGTATAAATTTCCCCTTACCTCTCTTTTGGTAGCATCTTTTGGGGTTAGTATGGTGTATTTTTATTTATCTCAATATTTTCTACTTTACTTCCTCATTTCTTCTCTGATTTGTTGCTCATTTAACCTAGTCTAGCCACCGTGCTTTGCAGTAGTGACCTCTAGGCTATGGACAGGGTCCCAGGGTTCTGACTTAGTTTCATTATTTCCTCCTGTGCCGTAGCCATCATCTAGGTACCCAACAAGGGACTCTTTATGCTGCCCCCCACCACCCCACTCCACAGCCAGACTTTCTACATCCCCCTCCAGTGCCTAGCCTGCTGATAAACCACTGACTCCCAATCTCTAACACCACATAAACTGGGCATGGCTTTATCTCAGAACTCAGAAGGTAGAAGCAGGGGGATCAGAAGTTCAAGGTCATCCTCAGCCACATAGCAAGTTTAAGGCCAGCCTGAGATAGATGAGACCTTGTCTCAATTTTGTTTACTAAATTATTATTTGACCAAGTTAGTGGTCTTATGAAGTTTTCGAATAAATCTAATAAATCTCTATAGTCAGACTGTAGAAACCATTCAAGAAAAAAGTTTAAACAGAATTATAGTAGTTATTTTCATATTCAGTTTGTCATATGCATTATATTGACATACAATTTGACTCTGATGCGAACTGATACATTTGAGTGCATATTCCAAAATATCCTCCACCTTTACCTGTGCATCTTATACACAGTGGGAAGGGCTTACTCCTCTTTCAAGTAAGAAATGAAGAATGTTTGAGGAGGTGGTTAAAAGTTTCTAAAGGGACAGATTAAACTAAAACATGATGATCCTAAGCACATGAAAAAATGGTGAGAAGGTTCAGCCGAAGTAGTAATACTTGTATTGATAAATGTAACATACCATAAAAAAATAAATGTAATGTACCAAAACTTTGTGAATTTGAAAGACATCGGGAAGGGGCATATGGGAAGTTTGGAGGGAGGAAAGGGAAGGGGAAAGTGTTTTAATTATAGTATAATCTCAAAAATAAACAAAAATTTACACAAAGAAAAAAGACAGATCATCATTCTTTGGCTTACAAGATGATGGTAGACTTTAATGGGATGAGTGAATTAAAAATGTACATGATGGAATCATACGAAGATGGGAGAGGGTAGGCTGCAAGGGTGGTCAGTATGCATTATGTACATTTGGACAATTACTAAAGAACAAATTTGATAAAAATATTTGGAAATAGAAAGTATATTTTATTGAAAAAAAAAGAGAAAGGACAGCTATTGCTGGACCTGAAACGTTGTGGGAGAGCATTGGTATTGATTTGCAGCAAGAGTTTGGAAAATGTTGGTCAAGCAAACTCAAGAAAGCCTAGAATGCTGCAAGTGACTTCAGGGGTGGTTCTGTGATGGCTCAGTGGATCAGAATGCTGACCGATAGCAGCCAGGCTGATGAGATTTCAGATAAAGATGAGCAATCTGACAGAAATTGTTCTACAGGCCACTCATGTTCCACTGTGGCCACTAATCTGGAGGCATCTTGTCCATTTCAGAGATTTCTGTGGGAAGCTGAACTTAAAGTTGACAAACTAGTTTATCTGCTAGAGGAAACTGCAAAATATATTGCAGCATGTGGGTTTTACTGTCTGCTTCTAGTAGGACTGACAGAGTCAGGGCAAAGACAATTCAGGGAGAATGGTATTAAGACGTGTGGTTTATTGAGAAAATAAGCACAAATAAAGGATCAGTCTAAGAGGATGTTTTAGTTCCTTTTCTTGTGGCTCTCATAAAACACCCTGACAAAAGCAACTTCTGGGAGAAAGCATTTATTTTGGCAAACAGTGTGAAGGGACAGTCTCCTGTGGCAGGAATGCGGGTGGCAGGAACTTGTCTACACGTACATCTGCAGTCAGGAAACAGATTACGATGAGCTTGGGTGTGCAGCTGCCTCTTTCCTTCTTGAGCGGTTCAGGACACAAGGTCAGGGAATGGCACCATCACGATGAGGCTGGTTCTTCTCACCTCGGTTAACTTAACCACAGTACTCCCTCCCAGGCCTGCCCAGAGGCTTGTCTCTTAGTTGGTTCCAGATACTGTCAAATTGATAATCAACACTAACATCATAGATGGTACAGTTGTAATCATTAGTGCCATTAAAAGTTAAAAGTAAAAATAAATCAGCTTGGAAATTTAGAATATAGATTTCTGTACATTTAAATGACAGCTCACATGTTAGAAAAATCATTCGAGGAAACACAAATTAGATTTTGTGAGACACAATTTGAGGTTAGTTCTTCATAATAACAGAAAGCAAGTGTTTTGCAATCACAATAGGAAATATTCCTTGAAAGTGTCTCAGGAATTAGTAGGTATAAAAGGTACAAATTTAATTTTTTTTTAAAAGAGAAATTATTTAAAATTACCTGGGGTGGAACTTTTTAGCTCACAAGATTGTCTTCTTCCTGGTTTTTTTTTTGGTAAAAAAATAACATAATTTGAAAACTAACTGTTGTTGAAGCATGCTTATTTGTCTGCATAACAATAAAATAGCTTTTCTTCTGTAAAAAGTTGATACACTTATACAATGTATATTGATCCTATCCTCTCAGAAATGATGATTCTAAGAGTGTGAAAAACTGGCGTGAAGGTTCAGCTGAAGCAGCAAAACTTGTGCTTGTAAATGTACCATGCCAAAACTGTGTGAGTCTGTATGGGGATTGGAGCAAAGCATTGTCAGAAGTGCAAGGACATAGAGTGATTGCTAACCTTTCATAAAAGCTATTTCCATAGCCTTAGATATTGATGAATGATTAAGTAATAAGACAGGTAACCTAGGATCAATTAATTGTCTGTTTTAAGGGGGATGGCCTCAAAGAAAATTAGATAAGAATGAACTAAAGACCATTTTCTGTAATGCATAACTTCTGTATGAATTTATCCATAATTTACTCGATTGGGGAGGACACAGCAGGGAAAGTAGACAACATATTCACAATAAACAAGATGTGAAAACAATTTAAATATCTGGTGGATGAATGGATAAAGAAAATAAGGCAGGCACAGAAAGATAAATGACACATAATATCACATATATGTAGACCCTAAAGTAGTTGATCATATAGAAGGTGGTAATGAAGAGGTTACATTCATACAGTGGTGAATGGTTGTGAGGTTGGTCAAAGAATACAAAATTTCACTATTAAAATAGGGTGAGTAAGTTCATGAGATCAACTGTGCTATACAGTGTCTATAATTAACAATATATTATGTTCTTGAAAATACTAAGACAATCAATATTAGGTGTTCCTACTACAGAAGGGCTAAATATAGGAGGTAATAAATACTAATTACTTAGAGTTATTCATTTTATTATATATGTGTGAAATATAGTGCATGTTTCAAAACATGCTGTAGACATAAATGTAAAATTTTTAATTGTGGATTTGGAAAAATAAATGTGATTAAAGTGGCATGAGAATACCCAATTTCTGTGAAGGAGTATATCCTTATACTAATGATTAGCAGCTTAAAGCAATGTGTATTTATTACCTCACTTAATTTGAATCAGGTGTTCAGGCAAGCCTTAATGGGTTCCTCTTCATCAAAGCTTTATCAGATACTAGTAAGTTCATGACCAGATAATAAAGCGTGATGTTTTTAGAAAGATTCAATTTGTTGCAACCTGTTAGAGCCTCAGTTAGTTGCTGATTTTTGTCTAGACAATACCTGCATTTCCTTCTGAAGATGTGGACTTCTCTATAGGACACAACATGAGAAAGTTCTTCGTCGGAGTGAGCAAATGCGAGATCAAAAGTCTGATCATGGCAGAAGGCACAGTCATATGTTAATCTTGGAATTGGCATCTCATTATTTTTGACATTAGAAGCAAGTCACTAGGTCAAGCATGTATTGAAAAGGAGAAAAAATTATTGAATATCACTAACATGAGGTAGAATCTTTGAGAATGAACAAAGACCATCGATTGGCCTACTTTCCAGAGCTTCACAGTGAAATGATAGATTAGATCTGTCCTAGATGTGTAATGACTGAGAAAATTCTACATCGGTACTTTATGTCAGAAGTACTGGTACTAAAGGGTACTACTATGCTGTCAATGAAAGAAGGTGTTATCTGGAGATAGGACTATGTCTTCCCATGAAGAAAACATTTATAAAAGGATAGAAGTCTCTTAATATATCAATTCTGATTGCTCTCTTCTGGAGTGGATCAACCCTAACACAGAAACAGAGAATCCTCTCCTGTCCCGTGTCATGAAGTAGACTCTAACTTGGATATTCTAAGTATATAAGGATACATCACTCAACTCAGAGACTACTTATATCCCCACAGCAAATGATACTATGACAGGAAGGAACATTGTTTCTCATAGTCATATCATTAAGTAGTGTCTTCTGAAATCTGTGTAGCATCTTTACTCAAATTAAATCTTAGCAACTGTGCCAGGGACCAGGTTGCAATGTGTCAGATAATAATATTTCATTGTGGATATATAAAAATCACCTGGAGCTGCAGGTAATTAAATATAAAACAAATATAAATAAAAATTAGGAATAAATGGGTAAATTAATTCGAAGGAAGCTCGAATAGCCTTTTGGGAACTTTGAAAACCATATATTAATTGTACAAAGCAATGAGCCTCACTCTGACATTGTCATCTACAAAAGTATATAGAATCTTTGAAAGCCAAAAACTCTAAAGTAAATGAGTCGATAATGGCAATTCATGTATTTTGCGGTAAACTTGAAAACATTTACACTGATGACATTTTAAAATAAAATTCCATTCTTTGTTAAGGTAAAATTATGTCATTTACAGGGAAGTGAATGCAAGTGAAGTTATCATATGACATGAGTTTACTCAGACTCAGAAGGACAAATGTCACATTTCAAAAGTATTTCTGTATCTAGATTTTATCTAGAAACATGAAATAATGTATGTGTATGTGATATTAAATTAGAAAGAAAACTGATGATGAATGAGAGGGACTGATGGGAATAGAAAGGACCAGAAAGGGGAATGGTGTTGGATTAGGGAGAACATGGTTAAAGTCCATTTTATTGATTGGTTTGTCTATGAAGCACTTGCTTTGCAAACATGGGGACCTGAGTTTGATCCCCAAAATTCACCATTAAAAAAAGTATGGAAGCATGTGCTTGTAATCCTAGTGCTGGAGAGGTAGAGGCAGGAGGATTCTGGGCCTTTCCAGCCAGCCATTCTAGCTAATTTGTGAGCTTCTGGCCAATGAGAGAGCCTGTTACAAATGTGGTGGGTAGCATTCTTGAGAATGACACCTGAGATTGTACTATGTATGGTCTTCACATGCACATGGACATACAGACTCACACACGTGTGCAAAAGTATACACATATATAAACACATATGTACACAAATATGCACACAAGCATAAAAAGTACATTATCAAATAAACAAATGACAACATATCCTGATGTGGATGTGGGGAAAAGAAAACAACTTATACACTGCTTGTGGGAGTGCAAGCTGGCACGACTACTATGGAAATCAGTGTGGAGGTTCTCAAAAAATTGAAAATAGATCTACTACGTGATCCAGTTATACCACTCCTGGATTACCCAAAGGATTCTATATCCTATTACAGAGATACACATTCATCTATATTCATTGCTGCTTTACTCACAATAGCCAGGAAATGGAAACAGCCACGACATCCATCAATTGATGATTTGATAATGAAAATGTGGTACACAATGGAATATTATTCAGCTGTTAAAAGAATGAAATTAACAAGTAAATGGATGGAGCTGAAAATAATCATTCTGAATGAGGCAACCAAGACACAGAAAGATAAACATGGAATGTTTCTTATCATTTCTAGATATTAGCTTTGAACGTTTAGATAGTGGTAGTTCATTTGGAATACCCACAGAGGTCAGGAATTTAGTAAGGAGCCATTAGGGGGAGGGTATTTCAAGAGAAGGGAATTAGAACACAGTGCTATAAAAAGTTAAAGGTGTATAATGGAACAAGAAGCATTACATTGCAGTGGAACATGGGAGGGGAGGGCAGAGGATAGAATATGAGGAGGGATAACTAATATTAAATGTCTTGTGAAAAATCCATAAGGAAATCTATCATGATAGAAATATCATAAGATATAGCCATACAGATGTATAAAGTCTTATTAGAATTTTCTTAAAATAAAGGTACAATACCCCAAAGAGACATCTCATGTTAGCAAACAAATCCCCAGTACCAGGAATAGGTTACCTCTTTTTGAATTGTTGGCCAGTGGGGGTCACATAGTCTCCCCACCCAGAATAACAGACAATTCCAGTACTCTTGACTACCCTCCAGAACTTGCTCATTATGACCTGACTGTTATAGACACTGCACATTTGAGTCCCCAAACATGGAGAAATCACGGTGGTACTCACCTGGAAACTTCATCCCTATTGGCTGAATTTGATGATACTGGAAGGTGCTGTGCCTACTGCTAGAGGAAAAAAGTAACCCACAGTAGCAGCCATCTGTGAATACTGCAAGCTACGAGGACTGGTCTAACCAGATATGACCTCTGGTGTGATGGTGGCGCAAATGTTATGAGAGTAACTAACCACTTTCTGATTGGATCTAAGCCCTGTTCCATGAAATGCTATCCATACCTGACACTATTAAAGGGACCAAAATTCTGAGTTAGACAGGTCCTAGGGGAGAACCCTGTACTATTATTCTGCTAAATGAACAATTCCTAGTGACTGTTTAAAAAGCTATTCCCATAGAGCAGAGCTTCTCTCAGCCCTCATCAGGGAAGCTTCTCTTTACAGTGGATGGCAGTTAGCACACAGACTCCCAGCTAGCCAATGTGCAGAGAATAAGAGACTGTGTGATGCTAAGCACTAAAGGGGCTTACATATCATACACACACACACACACACACACACACACACACACAGCCAAGGCTCAGGGATCTTTGTGGAAGCAGTGGAAGGAATCGCCAGATGTGGTCGATAACATCAAGGAAACTGTTTTCCAGATACAACAGAGCAGTTGTACATATAGACTCACTGCAATTGTGACCGACTGACTGCACAAGCTCCAGCCAGACAAAATCCTAGGACAAAGATGGGAAGGTGGGCACAAAATCCCACCAGTAGCTGAGGAGAGAGAGAGTCAGTTCTCTTAAATGAAGCAAGGTTGATCACACACCACTGCAGACCACACTCTGGAGACTAGCTAGGCTGCGCAGACTGAACTCGATGGAGAAAGATAAAGAAGAAAGAGAAGAAGGAGAAGGAGGAGAAGGAGGAGAAGGAGGAGGAGGAGAAGAAAACTCAAAATTGAGTGGGAAGGGATGGGATAGTGCAGAGTGGTTATGGGAGGAGTTGGGGGTGGGTTAGGGTGCAATTGTCCAAATTACATTGTACAAAATTCTCAAATAATTTAACTATTGTTTAAACAAATACATTATATACTTGCATGCAAATATCCTTATGGAGCTGAGTGGATGTGGAGTGTGTAAGAATACTCTCTCTGGAAGCATGAGTCCCCGAGTTCTAATATCACACAAATCCAGGCATGGCCCTCACACCTGGAGCAGTAGCATTGAGGTGAAGAAACAGGTAGGTCCCAGAAGCTTGCTAGCTAGCCACCTTAAATGAAACTGCATGTTGCTGATTCAGTGTGAGACCCTGTCCTAAAAAATAAGGATGATCTGAGCTCTTCCTCTGGCTTCCTCTCATGCATTCATGGGCATTCGTTTCTACCCTCATGTGGATGCACCGCACAAATGCACCCAGTCACACACGCACACACACACACACACACACACACACACACAAAGACTTCATGAAACTCCATACTGTGTACAATGAATATACACCAATAAAACATTAAATCTACTAAATATTAAAATTGAGTCTGGGGATATAGCTAAGTTGTAGAGTACTTCCCTAATATGCATGAAGCTCTGGGTTTGATCCCCAGCAACACATTACACAATAACAAAAATGAAAACAATACCCCCCAAATGACTGTGGTAGCCCTGCCTGTAATGCCATCACTAGGAGTAGAGGCAGAAGAATCAGAAGTTCAAGGTTGTCTTCAGATGTGTGTGTGTGTGTACGTATACACACACACACACACACACACACACATATAGTTCAAAGTCAGCCTGGTATACTTGAGAAGAAAGACAATGAGCAGAATATACATAATGAACTAAAATTAGTCCAAACCAAATGGGAAAAATACATAAATCATTCTAAGAATCTGAAATGGTGGAAACCCTGTAAGTCTTATTAAAATTAGAATGTTGTTCTCTGACAAAGATGTGCTGCCAATGACTAGCAAACTACCTACAAGGATTATCTATTGTTTATACACTGGATGTATCAATCAAATAAGTTCATTCTAAACTGTATTTAAAAAAATTCCTAATAATTAGTTTTGTCTGAAACATAGCAAAATCTATTCATTTTGTCTTATACCTGGAGACTGCATTCCTCTCAATACTTTATGTTGTACCCCTGCATTCATTTAGTCAAAAAACACACATGCACATACACACATGTACACATGAATATATATGTAAAATAGATTCTCACGAAATCTTTGCAAATTAAAAGCATAGAAGAGAAACCTGTACACTACCTCTATATATACCATTCAAACACTACACCTCAGCAGACTCTGGAAAGTAAACCGGAAGCTTAAAGAGATATTGCTTTAAGAAGAAGTATGAAATTGTAAATACAAAATTAGATATGTCAGTTAATTTTTATTCACAATGAAACTAATTATAATGCTTTACATTTTTTTCATTAAAAACTTGAATTGGATGTGGTGGCGCATGCTTTTAATCCCAGCACTCAGGAGGCAGAGGTAGGTGGATCTTTGGGAGTTTAAGGGAGCCTGGTCTACAGCAATTTCCAGGAGAGTCAGAACTACATAGTGATATCCTGTCTCAAAAATATTAATTAAAATATAATTACATCTCTTCCCTCTTCCCTTTCCTCCCTTTAACCTTTCCTATGTCCTCTCCTTCCAGTCTCTTCCATGTCATCTCCTCACTCCCTCTCAAATGGATTGACTCTTTTTCTTTGAGTATTATTGTTACATACACACACACACACACACACACACACACACATATATATGCATAAATATATAAATATACCTTGCTGGCTTAAAACCACCATAAAATGTTAGAAAATCTACAAAAATACATATTAAATACATTTTGTGAAATCTCTTACTTTGCATTTGTGTGCTATTGTTCTTTGTTTCATATAAAAATTGCATAATATCATTTAATAACTTTTAGTTATTGATAATTGAGATATACAAATAATGAAAATTCATATTTGAGTACATGCTATAAATTAGGGACTACAATAAATTCTTTTCAATCAATTTCTATTTTTAAAAATACAAAAATATAGCTCATGCATAATTAGTTTTAAAATCAACTAGTAATATGACAGCCAAATATAGGTAAAACGCCTGAATATTTACTCAGTCGCAAGTAAACATGCAACATAGAAAGTTGCATATAAAAAGTGGAATGATATTTTTGTGTAATTGAATAATCTATGATATATAAGGAGAATATTCAGCTTAATGTCATTTTTATTACTTTACATACTTTTCTTTTTGTTCATTCTTCTCTCATACAACACATCTTGACCATGGCCTCCTCTCCACCTACCCCCTCCCAGTCGCTCCCACTTCCCTGCTCCCCCAGAGTCACTGCTCCTCTGTTTCCCTTAGAAAAGACCAATTTTATTTTTTTTATAAGTTAATATACTTAATTTTTGTTTTGTTTTGTTTTTGTTTTTCAAGACCAGGTTTCTCTGTGTAGCCCTGACTGTTCTGGATCTCACTCTGTAGAGTTGGACTCCAACTCTCAGAGATCCATTTGCCTCTGTCTCCAGATGTACTGGGATTAAAGGCGCACACTACCAAGGCCTGACACCTTTCCTTAACTTTTTTTGGGACAGGGTTTTTCTGTAGCTTTGGAGCCTGTCCTCGAACTTGCTGTTGTAGACCAGCCTGGCCTTGAACTCACGGAGATCCACCTGCCTCTGCCTTCTGAGCGTTGGAATTAAAGGCGTGCACCACCACCGCCCATCTTTCTTAACTTTTAAGTTATACACTTGGTATTAGTATCATTTGGAATTCTTTTCTTTTTTGTTTTGGTGGGGGATGGGGGAGTATCAAGACAGGGTTTCTCTGTGTAGCTTTGGAGCCTGTCCTGAAACTCACTCTGTAGAGCCGGCTCGCTTGAACTCCCAGAGATCCATCTGCCTCTGCTTCCTGAGTGCTGGGATTAAAGGTGTGATCTACCACCGCTTGACTGGAATTTTTATACACATATGTTATTATACTTTGTGTTCTTTTTTGAAAAAGATTTATTTATTATGTACACAGTGCTCCTCTGAATGTATGCCTGCAGGTCAGAAGAGGGCGCCAGATCTCATTACAGATGGTTGTGAGCTACCATATGGTTGTGAGCTACCATGTGGTTGCTGGGAATTGAACTCAAGACCTCTGGAAAACAGCCAGTGCTCTTAACCACTGGGGCGTCCTTGCAGGCCCTGTACTTTGCTCTTGTTCACTGTTTCCTTACTGTCCTCTCCCATTCCTCTCATTCTCAATGGTTAGTGGTCCTTTTCTTTTCCCAAGTCGTCCCTTCTCCTTTCATGGCATATGCATTTCATTTCCCTTACCCTTTTAGGGTCCATTTTTATCTCCATGCCCCCATG